CCTGCTACTTCACTGAATTCATTTATTAGTTCCAGTAGTTTTTGGGTGGGTTCTTTAGGGTTTTCTATACATGGTAGCAAATAATGACAGTTATACTTCTTCCTTCCCAATTTGGATGTCTTTTATTTCTTCTTGCCTGATTGCTATGGCTAGAATTTTTAATACTATGTTGAATAAGAGTAGTGAGAGCAGACTTCCTGCATTGTTCCTGATCTTAAGAGAAACACTATGTCACATGATTTCACTAATATGTGGAATCTAATGAACAAAATAGAATAGAAACAGACTAATAGAAACAGGGAACAGATTGACAGCTGTGGGGGATGTGGTTGGGGGTTGGGTAAAGTAAGTGAAAGGATTAAGAAAAAAATTTCTAGGTATCAGTATGGTGATTATCAGAGGGAAAAGGGGTAGGGGCAGGTAGAAGAGGGTAAAGGAGGGATAAATGGGGATGGAAGGAGACTTGACTTTTGGTGATGAACACACAATACAATATACAGATGATGCATTATAGAACTGTATACCTGAAACTTACATAATTTTATTAACCAATGTCACACCAATAAATTCAATAAAAATATATGTTAAAAATGATCAGGAGATCTGAACAGATATTTCTCTAAGAAAGGCATACAAATGAACAACAAATATATGAAAATGTGCTTTACATCATTAATCATAAGGAAAATGCAAATCAAAACCATGATGAGATACCACCCCATTCCTGTTAGAAGAGGAAGAAGAAAAAGGTAAAGATACAAATTGTGACTAACAAACATGCATCTATCAACAAGTGAATCTAAGAATCAAGTGAATAAATAATCTGATGTACAGAATGAATTGGTGATTATAATGAATCAGGGACATAGAAAGGGAATGGACTGACTATTCTTGGGGGGGAAAGGGAAATGGGAGATTCGGGAAGAGACTGGACAAAAATCGTGCACCTATGGATGAGGACAGTGGGTGGGGAGTGAGGGCGGAGGATGGGGCGGGAACTGGGAGGAGGGGAGTTATGGGGGGAAAAAAAAAAGAGGAACAAATGTAATCTGAACAATAAAGATTTAATAATAAAAAAAAAAGAACCATAGTTCACAACACCAAACGGAGACATTGGAGTTAACAGATAATTAATGACTTTTGGGAAGGAGCTCATATTCAAGTGGAAGTTCAGTGATCTTAGCTATTATTTTCATATTAATGGAATACACTACTTAAACATATTTATGAATGCCATTTCCCTAAAACTGTGGTCAGACAGTTTAATCCTATCTAATAATAGACAAACATGGTAATTAACCGTACCTCCAACATGCTTCCCATTGGCTAATCAGGGTGATATGCAAATTAACTGCCACCCAAGATGACAGCCGGCAGCCAGGCACTGAAGCGAACAGGAGGCTTGCTTGCTCCAGTGAGGGAGGAAGCCAAGGTTCCCCGCCTGCCGCTGCTGGGCTCTGAGCTTGCACTCTAAGAAACATTGTTACAAATATAGAAGCTAAACAAAACCCAGAAACCTGCTTTCAGCCAGCCGGGCTTCAGCCAGCAGGACCGCAACATTGTTTCAATTATAGAACAAACGCAGATCCCTGCTTTCAGCAGCCGAGGTCTCAGAGCTGCAGCAGGGCCTCAGAGCTAAAACCGGCTCTCAGCTCCAGTGACAGCCACAGAAGGTAAGTAAATCCCAGAATAAAAAAAAAAAAGAAAAAAAGGAGAGGTTGGAAGCTTCAGTCACCTGCCAGCCTGAAAACGGCCCTCAGCCCCTCACCCAGACTGGCCAGGCACCCCAGTGGGGACCCCCTTCCTTAAGGAGGTGTGACCAGCTGCAAACAGCCATCATCCCCTCATCCAAACTGGCCAGGCACCCCAGTGGGGACCCCCACCCTGAAGCAACAAGATGGCAGCTAATTTGCATACTGAAGGCGGGCGGCAGTGGGCAAGGCTGTCTGCGGTTCGGGACCCAGATCTGTGACCCTGCCGGGCGGGGACAGTGCTTGAGGCTGTCCGCGGTCCGGGACCTGGATCTGTGACCCTGCAGGGCGGGGAGCAGCGCAGGAGGCTGTCTGCTGTCCCGGACCCGGATCCGTGACCTGGCGGGCGGGGACAGTGCCTGAGGCTATCCGCGGTCTGGGACCCAGATCCATGACCTGGCGGGGGCGGGGGCGGCAGCAGGCAAGGCTGTCCGCGGTCTCGGACCCGGATCTGTGACCCTGCTGGGCGGGGGGCAGTGCTTGAGGCTGTCCACGGTCTGGGACCCAGATCCGTGACTGGCGGGCAGGGGGCAGTGCTTGAGGCTGTCCGTGGTCCGGACCTGGATCCGTGTCTGGGACCCAGATCTGTGACCCTGCCGGGCAGGCGGCAGCGCTTGAGGCTGTCCGCAGTCTGGGACCCGTATCCATGACCTGCTGGGTGGGGGGCAGTGCTTGAGGCTGTCCGCGGGACCAAGACGTGGATCTGTGACTCTGCTGGGCGGGGGGCAGTGCTTGAGGCTGTCCTCGGTCCTAGGACCCGGATCCGTGACCCTTCCCGGTAGGCGGCAGCTTGCACAGGGGCGGATCGGCCGGGGTTGGGCAGGGCAGGAGGCCTGGCTTCTGCCCAGCCCCAGTCACTCTGGGCAGGTGAGTAGCGCAGAGAGCCTCTGGACAGGGGAGGCAGGCCGGCGGAGGGCGGCCTGTACTCCCCACATGGCGGTGGTGACAGCTGTGAGTGCTCCAAGCGGAATCTGCAGGCTGAGCTGAAGTAGTGCCTGCAGGCCATCAGCGCCCAGGAGTGGCTGCGCAAGATCCGCCTCCTGGCCCAGAAAGTGCATGATCACAGGGACAGCCACCATGGCGAGCCAGACTGACATCCTCCTGGCCGCACCATGGGAGTTTGCGGATCTGCAAAGCCAGAGGCCTCTGGTGTGCACATCGCCCCCTGGCGTGCGAACATCCCCCAGCACATTGTCACCCTCCCACGCCTGCTACAGTTGCAAACCAAGGCATGCACAAGTTCCCCCCACCTCTCCACCGCACTTCCATCAACCCAGCATGCCTAACACCCCCACAGGATGTGCACACATCCCCTCTGATGTGCTCACGTCCTTTGGAGAGTGTCTGGGTGTTCTGGGTGCT